GGATGCTTCTCCCCTTTCCCACAGCTACATCCTAAGAAGTAATGAACTGAGTGTGTATAAGGACATTTTATTGGTCCCAAGAAGGATATATCAAGTATGCAGCACAGGGTGGTCTCCACAAACTCCTCACATCATTTCTCCCACCTCCTGGGTCCTCACCTTCATAACTGAAATCCTCGATAGTCTCCTGCTGCACAGGAACACACAGGTCCCTCAAGAGGCCTGTGTGAAGGGATGTGTGTGAGGTGTCCAGCCATAAATCTGGGACACAGAATATTTCCATCTTCTGCTTTCTCTGCAGTGCAGGCTGCTCACATTTGAGACAGCTGTTAGCACTGGAGGCTTAGTCTGTGACCAGGGGCAAAGTTCAGCTAATTGCCCCATCCCAGTGTCACAGCTAACCATTGGCCTCCTTCATCTTAGGAACAAGCTTGATGCAGTCAAGCCAGACTCCTAGCATATGACCTGCAGCACTTCCTCTCTGACCCCACCACCCAGCCCACGTCCACAAGCCACACAGAAACCATGTGATGTCATCTGGCTTCAGCCCTGACGCTGTTAAATAAGTGATCCTCCCTCCAAGCTGCTGCAACCCCAACTTTAAAAGGACTGGAATGAGGTGATTTCCAAGAGTTTATACAACTCTTATTCTGGATCAGTTCAGTTATTCTAAGATACAAGTAAGAATATCACACAGCAGGTCACCATAGCTAAGAACAGACCATGTAGATAGGCTTCTTGGAAGGCAAGCATGCTCACCACTCCACCACCAACACTGTCCAGCCATGGCTGAAGACTTCTTAGAATAACAAGAAATTGAAAAGAAAATTCCAGCAATTGGACTCATCCACTGGGACAAACTGTCGTGCTCCAGGTTGTAATGACATCGCAGGCTGTACTAGTCACTGCCGAGGGAACCCAGCCACAGTTTTTGGTTTTGGTTCCAGTTACTGCCCAGCCCTCTTCAAGTAGCTTTATGACAAAATCTGGCAGCTCTGAAACCTCTGCATTTGTTTTGTTCATTATAAAGTTTTTCCTGACAGAAATATAACCAAATAATAGAAATTTTTAGATTAAAAGGAAGATGTTGGGTGCAGAGCAGGCTGAACTGTGTTGTCTGCAGGGCAGGCTGAACAGATGTTGACTGCAAGATAGCCCACGCACTCAAACCCCCCTCTATCTGGTCCTTTATCACCTGTTTGCCTCAAGTCTGAACAATCAACCCTGCTTAAGGCTGAACACTTAACCCCCCCTTGGGCCAACAAGGCAGCTTGCAGACTCAGAGGCCCCATTAGATTTGGGCTATAAAAACTCCCTCCTGCCAGGCCCCCCTCTCTCTTGCTCCCTCTCTCTCTTGCTCTCTCTCTCTTGCTCTTTATCTTTCTTGCACGCACTCTCTGTCTCTTGCTCTTGCTCTCTCCCTCTTCATCTCTTCTCTCTCTCTCTCTCTTTCCTTCTTTCCTTTCTCTTTGTTGCACTGCTGCAATAAAGATCTTTTGGTTGCTCCGAGTGTTGTGGTCACTTTCCTTTCAGAAGAGAGTTAAAGTTTGTCCTGAAACCCCACCACTTGACACAACCAATTGAGTTTCCACCTAGGTTCTTCCTGTGTTTGCTTTGTTCCTGCCTGATCTGCCAAGAACCATACGAATGCCAAAGAGCGTCTTGTTCCTGGACTATTTTCCCTTGGTCCCAGTGGCCAAAAAAAACACACATAGTCCTTCTGCCATGTCTGTTTCTGAGAACTCTGATCTGGGAATATCTTCCTGAAGTGTTTTATTCTGAAGCATTGCAGAAATGAACCCATGAGTAGGGTCCACACCCCTTCCACACTGTACCAAACACTTGCCACAGCTGGCTGCTGGGAGGGGCAGGAAGAAATGTGGGGAAGAGACCTGTGTGCAAGCCCTGAGCTATCTCAGATTTGCCCTGAGGGGCTGAGGCTCAGCCCTTCACCTTTCTAGGCCTCATTTTCCTCATCTTGGAAGTTAGGAGTGAGAAGGTAATGCAAACTTCCTAAAGTCCAAAAGGATCAAATAAGATAATGTACAGATGAGCTGAAGATATTACTTCAGAGAAAGCCTAAAACCAGAGGTGGTATGTCTGAAGATGGAAATATTCACACACTCTCACCAAGTGGGTCCATACCTTGTGTCAAGATTCCTTCAGAAACCAGCTCTGTTACTCTGTCCATTCAGCAAACTACTGTACCAGGCTATGTTCTGGGCAAAGGAGTTCAGCCCCTGTCACAAACAGGCTCACATAAAGTGGGGGAGTCTCAAGAAAACAGAGGAGCCAGGGCTAGGAGATGACCAAGGGGTAGTAGGTACCAGAACAAGGGCGTCTGTCATTTAAGGCCTCAGATTAGGCAGGGCAATTGGAGGTGCTTAGGCCTACAGAAGAGCTATGTCACCTGGCTGATGGGGTGGGGAGAGCCTTGGGACAGGAAGTTTCACAGATGGCAATATAGAGCCTGGAAGCCACTGTGATTTGCCTCAGTTCTGCTGTGTGACCCAGAAAAAGCTCCTGCTCTCTCCTGGGCATCAGTTCACGTATATGGCAAGTGTACAGGTCGTTCCAGTTTGACTAGGGACCTAAACTCAGGCAGACAGCACCCAAATGCATGAGTACTAGAAACCCAAGCACTAGGGTTGGGGGTGTGGCTCAGTGATAGAGTACTTGCCTGGCCTGCATGAGGCTCTAGGTTCCATCCCAGCACTACCAATAAAAAGAAAAGGGCTGGGGTTGTGACTGGTGGTAGAGCACTTGCCTAGCATGTGTGAGGCAATGGGTTCGATTCTCAGCACCACAAATAAAGTCCATTGACAACTAAGAAAATATTTAAAAAAAAAAAAAAAAAAAAAACTTGAGCACTGACTTCTGAAAGGCCTAGAGGGGTTTTTATCGTTAGCCTCTTTGAGCACCTGCCCTGGGCAGTCTGTGGCCCCTCCCTCCAGCCTGCCTCTCCTTTCAGACCTGCTCCTCCAGGAAGCACAGAAATTTAAGGTGGACATGTACTCCGTGAGGCCACACCATCCCACAGTGTGTGATCAGGCTTGCTCCCATAAGTGGAAGGAAGGCCTTCAGGGAGACTGCTGCCCCAGAGAGCGAGTCCCACTCTCCTGGGCTATCTAAGCAGTCTGTGATCTGCTGAGCTATGCCTTCCAGTGAGGCACTTAATCTGAAAGGCAAGTTTCCTTCTCTCCTGTGTTCCTGCCTGCCCCTCACTTTGAAGGACAATAACCCTCCTGGCTTTAAGGGTCAGAATTGAAGAGAGAAGATGCAGGGAGGGAGCCCAGTTAGACACAGAGCTGGAATCACCCCCACTCTGGTAGTGGTGGCAGTTGTGGCTGAAGTGGGGGGCACGATGCATCACTGCCCAGGGAGCCTAAAGTCTGACATTTGTATGATGAATGCAGTCACAATGCAGGTGTGTGCAAGTGTGATCTTGACTCAACCTCTGAGCCTCATCTTTTCTCATCTGTAAAATAGGTGATAACCATATCACAAGTTGGTTGAGAGGAACAAATGAAATTACAGGAAGTACACTGGAGGCTGACACGTTAAGTACTTAGTAATGGTGGCCGCTGGGACATCATTGGTTTTTTCAGCCATCAGTCTCTGGGGGGAGGCTGGTGAAAGGACTCCTCAGAGACCAGACAGCTGGTGACCCCTGCTGGCCACTAGGGACCAGAGCAGTAGGGCTGGGGCAGGGGTGAAGGGAGCTAGATTATTGAACTCACTTAGTGCCTGCATAGGAGAACTTAATGACTTCATAAACATTCCCTGAGGTTTCTCTGAGCCAGGCCTGATCCCAGGGAACATTCTGTTCCCATCCTGGCCTCTTTCAAGAGCTCCATGGCTTATAATGGAGGGAGGCTGATAACAAACAAGAAAGGGTAGGACCAAGCCTGGTAGATGAGGAAAGGGCTTTCAGTGGGGGAATCCTGAAGGACGAATTTTAATTGTGGGCTGGGAGGGACAAGAACATTCTGGATAGAGAAAAGCACATGTAAGTCACATTCAGAATAGCAAGGGAATGAAGATGCAGGCCAACAGGGTGGCTTCCAAAGGCTTAGATTTCAAGCTGAGGGGTTCTTCTGAAGGCAGCAGGGAAAATTCAAAGGGTTGGAAACTTAGAAAGTCACTGGCTCTGGCAAGTAGGGTACTGGGAGGAGACAGTGAGTCTAAAAGGTGGCCTGTAGTGGCAGCAGGGATGGAGAGAAGCATGAGGCACAGCAGCCTCAGGATCTGGTACTATGAGGGACAGAGGTCACATGCACAGATGACAGGAGGCAGCTGAGTATGGCATCCAGAGTTCAGGACTGCCGTGCCAGGAGAAGTAGGCAATCTGGGAGCAATGAGAGTAGATTTTGCCATTTGGCCAATACCTTTCTGTCTTCACTGACCTGTGCCAAGCCCTAGGCTACAGAAAGAAATGGGGTGCTGGGTTCTGCCCTGTGAGTTCAGCCTGGACTGAGGCATATTGTGGGGGTGAAATTTGATGCCAAGGTAAATGAAGGCCCAGGCTTAAGCTGCCCTCCTCTACCTGGGCCCTGCCTCTGGAGGAGGAAAGGGGGCCAGTGTAAAGGCTTGCCCAGTGTACCAAATACTTTGATATCACTCTTGTTTGTTAGGATCCTTTCCACCAGGACCCCATGGGCTGCTTGCTCCCTTTTCAGCCCACTGTGTTGGTTTGGCCTCAGGGCCAGGTTGGACCCAAGGCTACATTTCCATGGCTCTGAAAGGCACTGATTTGGGCTGTCCTGAGCCATTCTTCATGCTGTTTGCATGATTAAGCTGGGCAACCTGTGTCCCTGGGCAGAGGCTGGGCTGGCTTTGCCAAAACAGCTCTATGCAGGAGGAGGAAGGAGACCAAACCAGATTTCCCTGAGCCCCCAGCCCAGGTCTCCCTGTACCCCACAAATGCTGCAAAGACGCAAACAGACAATTTTGTTAGTCACCCTCCCCCCAACTTTAGAGAGGAAAAGTGAGGAGATACATATTTTAAAAAGACTTTTTAAAACAAGAACACTGTTTTTAAACAAACACGCCAAGTCCTTCTGGGCCTTCTTCCCCATTAAATCTGGAAGCCACCCCATCCTGTGGGCTCTGGAGCCCTGTGAAGCGGAGGGAAGCTGTTCTCCAGCCCAGGCTGTGGGGGCGTAGTCCTAGCGCCAGAGCACAACCTTCCTGCCCTGGTCCACGCTCACCACGTGGCTCCCGGAGCAGCACCAGGCCACAGCGTTGATAGCAGCACTGAGGAGAGGGAGAGTAGGGTTCAAGGGGCAGCAGGAGCCAGGTCTGCAGCCTGGCTCTGCTCCCCAGTATTGGACCTAGATAGTTTGAGGCCCTCTGTGAGCACATTTCCTCATCTGTAAAGTGGGTATCTATAAAACACATGTGGAAGGATACCTGGGTGCTGTGAAGGGCTGGGGGGGTGAAGGTTTGGAGACAGGGGCTGGGAGATGTTAGAACCTGGTGTCAGGCAGGACTAGTAGGAGGGCAGTGTCTGCTCACCAGTGGGGGCCCTGAAGGCTGCTCTCCAGTTTCCCAGTGTCAACATCCCAGATGAAAAGGGCTCCATTCGAGGAGCCTGCCAGTGCATAGCTTCTGTCAGGGCTGCAGTGGCCACAGCAGAACAAGAGAAAGGGACTCAGGTAAGGACACACACAAGGACCAGGTAGGGTGTACTCGAGGATGGGCAAGCTCTTACAGACACACCTGAACACAGCTTTGGTCCAGTCGGAACCACATTTGAAGCCATCAGCCCTAAAGAGAAACAGGGCTGGGGTCAGAATGGAGATCACTGCCAGTCCTGTCCCCAACCAGGGGCTTTGAGAGCCCCATCTCTATAAGGTGTCAGGTACCTCAGCAGGTCCTGGTCAAGAAAGGCAGAGAACTTTTACAGGAAAAGAGAAACACAGCTGCCCCAATAAAGGCCACAGGGTCAACAGGCAGAAGCTAGTACCTGAACACCTGGCGGATATTGCTGACCCGGAGGTCAATGACCTTGAGTGTATTATCTCTGGAGCAGATGAGCAGGTGCAGCTGGTCATGGCTGAGGCTCAGGGAGGTGACCCGGCCCTGCACAGGAATGACCTGGGTGCAGCGGGGACCCCTGAGGAGACAGGGATAAGGAACAGTCCCCCAAGCCATTCCTGAAAAGAAGGGACTAGGTGTGGTCCCCTTCCTAACCAACAAAGTCCAGAGGCAGGTCTCTGCCAGTAACTAATCTCCCTTATCCCTACACCCAGCTCCCTCCACTGAGGAACTTGGTCAGACTTTGATTTGAGAAGGAGCCCTTGAAACCCTTGGATCACTAAAATAAACACTGGAAGAAAAGCAATGAAAAGTCTGTCTTGAAAAACTTGAGAAGGAAGAGCTTCAAAGGGCAGTCCCTGCACACCAGCAAGACCAGCCTACATGGGCCCTGCACTGCTCCAGCTCTGCATTTGTAAACCATTCACCCAATGCTGGGCTCTTCTGTTCAAAAAACAACTAAAAACATTTCTTGGTTTTTTTATTGAAGCGTGGTAGCCAGGCATGGAGGCACATACCTATAACTGCAGCTACACAGGAGCCTGTGGCAGGAAGATCCCAGCCTGGGCAACTTAGCAACACTCAGTCTCAAAATAAAAAGTAAGAAGGGTTGGAGATGTAGCTCAGTGGTAGTGAACCACTGGGTCCAATCTCTGGCACCAGAAAAAAAGTAGAAATAAAATGGAAAAAGTTGTTTGTCCATCTTGGTTGTAAAGCCCAGGCAGTCAGTACTGGACTGAGAAGTCACAAGGAAAGTGGCACAGCTTCCCAGGGGTGCTATGCCTCAAGGAGCTGTGCCCAACAGAGGATACCAGCTGGTGGTGCCAGCCCCATAGCTTCACTCCCCCAAGGAACCACCATGACCCTTCCTGCCAAGGAGCAAGAACTCCAGCACTCTGACCCCAGGTCCACCAGCCACCCACAGTCTGCCTGTCACCTGCTATCCCAGAACCGGATCTTCTGGTCATTGTGGCCACTAATGATGATGTGGTCCCCGCACACCACGTCGTTACAATAGGAAAGGACATTGATAGTTCTGGAACCTAGGGACCAAGGGGTAGAGCCCAGGGTCTCAGAGGGTTGTCAGGAGCTAGCACAGTAGACACGTAGAGATGCTGAGGTCCAAAAGGGGCAGTGTTCTCCCAAGACTAGAACCCAGATCTTCCCATCCCAGGACTCAGTCCACCTCTTCTTCATCTACCCAAAGCTTAAAGTCATGAAGAAATCAGATAGGGAACACCAATGGGGCACAGAGAAGGATGACCTTGGAAGGTTTCACCCAAAATGTCTTTGAATCCCAGAGCCACTCCCAGAAAGCAGGGTAGGTTCCCTTGTATCTGAGGGAAGGGGGGATGGGAGGTGGAGTTGGAGCTGAGCCTCACAGTAGGCACGGCCAAGGTCCCACTCCTTCACTGTCCGGTCTCTGCTCCCAGTCACCGCCTGGTGTCTTGTTAGCTTGAATTTGGCAGCTGTCACCTTGTCCTTGTGTCCAGACAGTGTTTCCTGCCCCCATCCCAAGTCTGGATCAAAGGCATGGCCAAGACCCCATAATAGCACCTCCCTCTCCTGAAAAAGGACCCTTGACCCTTAGGCTGCCTTCCCAGTCAGGTCTCACCTTGGACCGTGCCTCTCCCACCTTCCAGAGCTGGGCAGCCTGATTGTAAGTAGCTGCCAAAACCTGGGAGCCCTGGAGAGATGGGGAGTGTTAGAGGTCTGAGTCTAGGCCTGGCCAAAGGCAGCATCTTTCAGTCCAGAGAACTATGGTAGGGGTGGCCTTAAAGGTTCCCATGGCCCAAGTCATCAAGGAAGACAAACGAGCCTCAGGCCAGCAGGAATGGTATATGCAAGAGCCCAAGGACCCAGCTTTTGGATACTGTTACTGATGGTAGCCTCTGCCCACTGGTATAGAGACTGGGGTGTGGGGGGATAATCCCATGCTACTGGGGCAAAGTCCCCTCACCGAGGGGTCGAAGTCCACACTGGTGATGCTGCCACCAGCTCCCTCAAGGGTCTGGTTGGCCTCCAGACGACCTGGCAGGGCAGGGGGAGAGCAGGGAAAGGAACAGGTGAAATGAGGTCACTCACAAAATAGAGGAACTGGAACCCAGAGTGGGAACAGGAGTCTCTCTTAAGTTAGAGCACAGAATCATGGAGTACAGTTACAGCCTCGGCTGCAGGGGCCTCATGGGGAAGCTAGGCATTTGCCAGACAGGGCTAGAGAAAACCAGAGAGAAGGGACTGTCCATAGGTCACACAGCAAGCCAGGCCAGACCAGCTGGAGATTTGCCTCCTCTAGGAAGCCCCCAGGGGTTGGCTCTGAGTCCCTAACCCAGTTATAGAACACAGAGCTTAGCACAAGATGGACAGTCAATGTTTGTCTCCTGACTTCTGGCAGGTGGAGTGATACCAAAAGAGGTGATGGCCTGGTGAACCCAAGGACTTGTTCCTCAAAGGTCTGTCCCTGTAAGACTGATAAGGGACCTCCCCCTCCCCCAACAGAGGCCCATCTGCACTCAGCCCTCCCCATCTTGCAGGCCTAGGGGTTCTACCCTTCCTCGGAGAGGCATCCTCAGAGTCCTGCTCCTGCGGAGGGGTTCTCTAGCTATTGCTCACAGGAATGTTCCAGGTAGAGGCAAACACAAAGAGGCCCACCCAGGAGCAAGCTGAGAGTAGTAGATCTTTAGAGAAAGTACTGGGTTGGGCTGCAGGGAGGGGTCCTTACCTCCCACCACATTCCAGAGGTGGATAAGACAGTCAGCCCCACCAGTGGCCAGGAGACTGCTGTTAGGGCCAAAACATACAGCATTGACCTCAGAAAGGTGGGCATCCTGTGGGGAAAGGGGAGGTTAGTGACCCAGGCCTTCCCCACATATGCTTGTTTGTGCCCCCTCACAGGCTCACTCTCAATGTGCCTGTGCACACATACAGCCTGCTGCTGGCTTGGTATCCACACCCTAGGTCTCTGCCCAAATCCTGAGTTTCAAACTTAGCCCCAGCAAATATCTTCATTTCTGCCTGGTCCCCTGAAGCAGCCTCCCAACTGTGCCTCCCAACACTCTCATTGGGCCACCTACTCTCTCAGCCTCCCATCTCCCTTTCCAGTCTATGCCCCCATTGTAAAAAGCCTGAGCAGTTCCCACCATGGCCTGTGGAGATAAACTCCTGCTGGTCCTGGGGGTCTTGCTTGCCTGGCCTGCTCGGGACACCCCTAGTGCCTGCACTCCATATTGGCCCCCACACATGTGGCCCAGTTCCTCCCTTACCAGGACATCTTGAGCCCAAGTAGGAAGTCGGGCAGCCACACACACAGGGATGCTCTGGTATCGCTGCTCAGGGGCACCCCCAATTGAGTGACCTCTCCTCTTCTTGAAACTGCAGAGGTAGAGTCAGGAGGATGTTCACCAAGGCCTTCTGATGTGGGGGCTTCAAGCTCCCCAAAGGCAGCAGCAACAGGAAACAGACATGGCAGTAGCAGAATATGGCCCCAGGATCCAACCAGCCTGTTCCCCAACCCAATCTACCCGGGATGGAGTGGAGAATACACAGAAAAGCACAGAACAAGGGCAGGATTGGTGGTTGCAGAGAAACTTCAGGGCTAATGGTTAGTATTGGCCTTGCCACTGCTTGGCTTTGTGACTGAATGAGTTCTTACATTTCTGAGCCTTAGTTTCCCAATTGAGTGGGAGTTCCCATTTGGCCTCAGGCTGGAACTCTTGGTCCCCTGTGAGGACCTTGGATAAGGACAGATCCCTTATGAGCCTGGAAGATAGCTGAGTAGGGGTTAAAAATGAGGTCATACACCTGGCTCCTGCCTCTGGGGCCCAAAAGAGATACACACAGACAGTAGGCACCATATGGATGAACAGACGAGGCACATACAGAGACCAAGCCTGGGCTCCAGAAGCCTGACATGAGGCTCCAACAGGCCCAACCCCTTCACATACACAAATACACACACTTACTCTAGCAGCCCCTTCACCACATCCACACAGTGGGACAGAGTCAGAGAGGTGGCTGAGGCAGACCTGGGGCAGAACCGAGAACCACGTGCTAAGGGACTGGCTGGTAGGTGTGCAGATAGCAATCATTCATCCCTATACTTTGCTGGAGATCTGAGGACTCATAATCTCTAGAGCCTAGAACAAGAACTTGACTCCTTGAAGATCAGGAGGGTTGTAATCCAGACCAACCCAGGAAAATGCAAGCAGGGAGAGACTTGACAATGGAAGTCTCTACCATGATGGTAAGAACTACCAACCCCCCCACCCTCAGCAAATGCTCACATACAAAAGCTCCTGGGAGGCTGAGCTAGGGCATATGGGAGTGGGCAGATGAAGTGGCCTCAGGCTGGGACAAGGCTGGGGGCAGTGAGGAGGGGAAACCTAAGCTTGTTGAGTAATCTCAGAAATGCCCAACTGTACTGGGATGTCTCAGCCCACCAGGGCTGCCAAGAACTTTGGAGACCTGTTTCTCAAGCCCCTCCGCAAGGTTCCTTCACTATCCCAGGACCTAGACACCAGGGACCTACAAGAAAAGACTGAGGAGAAGAGCCTTCAGGCTGGTAAATGGAGCCAGGAGAGAGCAGCCTCAATGACAAGTAAATCAAGACTTGGGGGGACTGAGAGTGTGAGCAAACATCTACATTTGTTCTTATGTTCATACACACTAAGGTATTCGCAACCAAGCTCGTGCATACATATGCCCATGTCCTTGTGTATACCTACCCATGCACACACCTGTGTCTACATATATACATGCCTAGGACAGATGAGCCCTGGGCCTTGCCCACAGTTCCCTCCTCATGACACCCCTTCACAAGCCTTAAACCCCACCCGAGAGCTCTGGTCTTAGGAAGAAGAGAAAGCAGTGCATGTTCAGTGAAAATGACCCCAACTACCCCAAGCACTGTAGGTCAGACCAGTCCTGGGCTGTACCCCAGCTTCTCCCCAAACTCCTAGCCCCAACCCACCAGCTGGCCCAAGGTCCTAGAAGAAGACAATGGCAGCCTCAGAATTCTGAGACAGCCAACTGCGTCCTCACCTGAAAGGCCTTTTCCACTTCCCACAAGCCTCACTCTCCAGGGACTCAGGCTTAATAGCCAGAGCCAGAGTCTCTGTCTGCTCTCTGATCCCATCATGTAGAGTGTGTGGAATCCTGGGAGAGAGGAATAAAGCTCAGGAAGACCAAAGCAACAGGCCAGCCCCTCCCTGCCCAAGCACTGGTTACGGTGAAGATGTGAATTCCGAGCATGGAAGGGTCCGAGTGGAAAGGAGGATGTGAGGTGGGCACATGAACTTGCTCACACAGATCTTCAAGGATCCAGTGGACCCTGGATCGCTGCTGTGTCCACATGCAGTCAGGTGTACCAGTGTGGGGGAGTGGGGAAGATGGAAAAATGGGCAGACAGTCCGGCAGCTACAGAGTACAGGGGTCAGATCCGGTCCCTCCTCACTCTTACTCGCTGATGCTCACAGTCCGTTTGGCAGCCTTCTTTAGTTCCTGCGACACCCGCGCCTGATTGGCCCTAGTGGGGAAAAAAGCATCCTAGGAGCCAGAAGATTCCAAGGCGGGGTACCAAACGCCCCTGCCTTCAGGTTCGAGCCTGACTTAGTCCATTCTCCCCAGGGGGCAGTCCCCACAGCTGCCTTTCAGGCAAGGGCGAGGCCAGACTCTGAGGAGGCTAGCCACAGAACAGGTCGGGGCCCAGCCCTCCTACCGCTCTCGGCGCTCGTTGCGCAAGTTGCACTCCGCTGCGGCGCGCTCCTTGCGTTGCAAGAGCTGCTCCAGCAGATTGAGCGCCTCCTCCTGGAGCCTGCGCAGTGCCGCCTCTTGGTGCCCAGTGTGCACACGCAGCACCTCGTAGGCCTTCCGCTGCGCCGCATTCTGCTTCTGTAGCTCCTCTACGAGGCTGACCTGCTGCGCCCTCGCCTCCCGCAGCTGCGCCACGCGGGCCTCCACAGCCGCCAGCCTGGAGGACCCGAAGCGCAGGCAGTGCATCCCAAAAAGCTTCCATCACCGCCCAGTGGGGACCCGCCTAAGACCCCAGAGAGATCTACCCATGGCCACCGGCCAGCCAGGTGGTTAAGCCAAGTCCCCAGCCAAGCCTTCGCCCTCACAGCCGTGCAGTTCGCATCCCCCAAACACAAACCAGGAGTCTTTGGTAGTCATGGGGAAAGCTGTTGGGGCCACGCAATAACCCTACCTGGGGCAGAGGAGGGCGCGGTCCCTTTCACCCTACCGGTACTCACCTGCTTTGCCGCTCCTCCAGCTCCGACTGCAGGGCATCCAAGGCTGCACTCTTCTTCACCACCTGGTAGGCCATCTGTGGGGGCGGACAGGTGGTCATGGGCACCTCTGGAGGGCTCACACCAGGCTTCACGCCCCTCTCAGGCAGGAGAGGCTGGAGGGACAGAGCCTGCCACCACCTTCCACGGCCCCTTCCCAACAAGGCTCAGATGAGTTTAGGATCGTGCATAAGGATGCAACAGAGGCTCTAGGCTCAGAAGTCTGACTCCTGAGTTTCAATTCTAGCTGTGCTGTGCCACTTATTTTCTCTGTGACCCTAGGGGTGTAGAGTCCCTTGGAAAGTGAATCTCCTTAGCAAGCTTCGTTTTCCTCACCTGCAGAATGGGAATGATAGTGCCTACCTCCATAGGGTTGAAGGAATGCTGAATGAGGCAGGGGTACAGATGAGATGACCCTCACCCTACCTCCATAGAGCAACCCAGAACTATTATAAAGAAAAATATTTAAAATAATAGCAGATGGTTATCTAGCATTTACACGTGCCATGTTTTATTCTGAGCACTCTACACATATTAACTCTTTTAATCCCCATAATAACACCATATAGTAAACCCACCAGCTTCGTTTTACAAATGAGTACATTGCTACAGAGAAGTTAAATGCCTTGTCCAAAGTCACACAGCTAAGTGACAGTTGATATTTGAACTCAAGCTACCTAACTACATCATGCTCCAAGTAAAGTGTTGATCTACAGGGAGGGTTCAAGGGATGTGAGTTCTATTCCCTGCCTCTCCAACATTTGGCTTTCTTTACAATCCCTGACCAACTGCTGGCCTGCCCAAGCACAGATCTCAGAATACAGAAGCACACAAGGCTAAGAACAGGAATGGACTGTGAGAGTACTGAACCCAGACTGAGTCCTAGAGCTGCCCTGACAGCCCGGAAGTAGGGTGAGAATCATTACATGTTTACCCCTGCCTCACTCCACATTCCTTCAACCCCAGAGCCAAGAGATGGGCCAGCCATGAAGATGAAATTTGATTCCCTTCTTTCAATGCTGAGGGGTCAGTGAGAGAAACAGATCCAAGGCAAGGCAGTGCCCACCAGTGTGGTAAAAGGAAAATGAGGGCCAGACTCTGAGCACCTCTGGCCCAGCAAACAATCACAAGGAAGGGACGGGTGGGGGGGGGGGGTACTCTTATTGCTAACATCTGTTCCTGGTACTTTCTCACAAGGGCTTGGTAAGGATGGACTGAGGTGCGAGGCTGAGGCTGTCTACCTGGGTAAGGGACTGGGAAGACCCCCTGCACATGCAGACAGGGCCCCTACTTTCATAGCTGGTCCAATTTACAATAATTATAATCCTTCTCACCACTGAGCAACCTAATCACCATCCTCGTCACCTATCACTTGCTTTCATTTCTGTTGTGTTATACCACTCAATATTTTTTTATTGGTACTTGTCAAAATTCAAATGATAGGAAAAAAATTCAAATGATAGAGGTGGAAAACAGATGAGTGGTTACTACCAGTGGTTAAGGATGTTTGGGGAAGGGTGAGTGTGACTAAAAAGGGATAGCAAGAAGGATGTCTGGTGGTGATGAAATTGTGCTGTATCCTGATGAATACAAATCTACAAATGTTATGGCATAATGTCACACCATTATCAAGTTGCAACCACAGCATCAGCTCTGGGGGAGAGGCTCTCAATTTGTCTATAGCCCCTTCCCACACTTGTGTTGGGCAGGTGACTTGGCTTACTGTAACTGGACACATGTTTACTGGCCCATCACACTCTCCTCCCTTGAAAACTCCACAGGGCCAGGTCTGTTCACAGCTGCACTCCCTGTTCCTTGGACATAGCGACTGTCAATAAATATTTGTTGAAAGAATGAAGAAATCACAAAAAGTAGATTTGTGTGGGTGGAGTTTCAAATCTAGAATCCACCTCTCTAAGCCTCAGTTTCCCCCTCTGTACCTACAATGAATTAACTAAGCTAATGCTTGCCTAGTGCTAAGTGCTATATTATGGAAGAGATGGTGACTTCATTTATTATATTTATTTATTTATTTTTATTTGTGGCCCTAGGGGTTGAACCCAGGAGTACTCTACCACTGAGCTACATCCCCAGCTCTTTTTATTTATTTATTTTGAGATAGAGTCTTATAAGTTTCCTAGGCTGGCCTCAAGCTCACAATCCCCCTGCCTCAACCTCCTGAATCATGGGATTACAGGGTGCACCATCACCCACAGCTGGAGATGATTTTAGATGTGATGTCTCAGCTGAGCAAGAGTCCAGTGTGCAGAAAAGAAGGCTGGGTAGAGACAGGTCCGAGAGTCAGAAGAGAAAAAGAAAGAGAAAATCCCTGTGGCCAAGGCAGCCAATGAGCACACCCAAATGAACACCCACATTTAAAGGGAGGAAGGAAAGGAGCCAGAGAAGGAACTCAGAAGTAAAATCTACAGATATAAGAAGAAAATCAGAGGAAATAAGTAGGGTACAACAGAAACCAAGAGATGCCATTGCAGGGGACAGGCAGGGCAGTAATGCTAGGTGGAAGTGCCAAGTCCTGCCTACAGACTACATCAATCTTGGTTGTTTGTCTGCAAGTATATATTAACCATCACCTGATGCTGGGCCCTGGGGTTGCCTGGACAAGGGGTGAAGAGTAGGCACGTGAGTGGGGGAATAAGCAGAGTAGGCTAAACCATCTAAAAGGGGGAACAGGCTGCCAGGCCCCTACACAAGTCATCCACTTCCCTGAAGTCTTGTCTCACTCTTTACAGCCAATGTCGGAACCCACTTCATCCAGGGCTTGCAAGGGGCACACTGACACCCTTCCCAGCTTCATTTCCAGGCCTGATATACTAGGGCTCACTCAGTGCTTGCAGCACCAGATTTTAGGGGATGCAGCAAACACAGGAAGTTCTGCTCACTTCCTGGTTCCCTTGACAGTATCTCCCTGCCCCAAAGTCCTGGATCCCGGCCCTTCCCCATTCTTGATCCCTTCCCAGCTTACCTCACCACAGTCCAAGCGGAGCCCCTCCTCCTCCTCCTCCTGCCACTTCACCCTCAGAGTGCCTGGTGGTGAGCTTTGGTCTGAGTCAGGCCCTGACTCCTCCCTGCCAACCAACCAGAGAGAGGTGCTTATGTCCCCTCCATTCACCCCAATGCTCAAAGGCTCCCAGTGTCCCATGAAAAGCCTGAAATAAGAGTCGTTAACTTTTTCTTGAGGAAAATGGAAGCCTGAAAGCCACTCAAGGAAAAAGCAAGGACTGAAGAGCAGTCAGTGGTGGAGTGCTTGTCTAGCATAGGAGAGGCCCTGGGTTCCATCCCCAGCACCACAAAAAGAAAAAAAGGAAAGAGCAAATCTCAGAAATGAGCTTTCAGGAGTCCTGTGCTCTGGCCTTGTGTTTCCTTGCCAAGGACCTTCCTCAAAAAACACCTGCTAACTCTAGCCCCAACCCATTCCTTGATCTAGTCTTCACTCTCTCTCTCTTTGGAATAGGGAGCAAGATCCTTTCTGTAGGCATCAGGTAAGGAACAGGGAGATGGAAAAAGGCTAAGGGGGAAAGATAGGAGTGCAGGGTTAGGAGGTGAAAGGGATAGGAAAATGCAGAGAAAGAAGGAGAAAGGAGATTTTAAAGCAGCTGGCCTGGGGGAGGGCCTGCCTCTCCAGAACCACCCCTGAGTAGCAGCCAGGAGCCATTGAGGTGCTGGGAGAATATGACCCAGCATGGGGGCTGGTGGGCAGGAGGGACTAGAAACAGGCAGCCTTTTATGATCACTGATACATATACTTACCAGAAGCTCTGATGGGTGGCAGAAGTAACATCATTTGGCTTCTTATGAAGCTTCTCTGAGAACTTGGCCAACAGCTCAGCTTTTTCTAGGAGATGATTATCTGGGGGTGCAAGAGGGTGAGTTGGGGCAGAGATAGACACTTTCCAGCCAACCCCTAGCATACAAGTTACCTATGGCTAGAAAGGCTGCAGGAGTCCAGGGATGCTGGGATTGAGACAGCTACTGGTGGATGGGTTGTGCCCCTTGCCTGAGAGTTGTTTGTGCATCTCTACAGGACCTTTAGTGCTGGCATAGACCACCATGTCATCCAGGAAAAGACCTGTTCTCCCAAGGACAGAAGGACCCCTACTGCTGGCAACAGGATGGCTGAGTCCTGCCTGATGAGGGTCCTGAAGGATGCAAGGGGCCTAGAATTGATTCACCTCTGCCCCAGACAGGGTTGGCTCCAGAGCATGATGAAACAAAAAGCTGTACTAGCTATGACCTTCAGCAAGTCACTTCCCTTTCAAGGGCTCTAACTTCACACTAAAGTAATCCTAACTTCCCCAGAGTTGGTGCAAGTTCCCCCAGGTCAAAATAGAAAGTCCTTGAGCAATTATCCAACAGACCTTCTTAGGTTAGGTGGTTAGACCCTGGATTACACACACCCACCACCATCCACGATAACTTCCTCTTTTCAGTTCCGGCGCAGGCTGGGGGGTGGTAAGCCCAGGCCTAGCTTCTCAGCTTCCTTCCCTCACCCAGTGCCCTGCTTGTCACCTTGACAGAGGTCCCTGGATTTAGTCTAGTTCTCATACAAAACCCCACCTCAGCTGTAGTAAAGGCACAGCACTGGTCCCCAGCAAATCTTTAAAAGGTTAAATTATACCTAATTTATATAGAATAAATCTGAGGCTTAGGGACATGAACTACCCAAGACCACAGAGATAACAGGAATTTCAGTCTTTCTGATTTCAGCCTTCTGGGTTGCTCCAGACCCTTAGATTTGGAAGTCCCAAAAAGGGACTGTGGGTGACTCTTTCCTAAAACTGGGAGGTTCCCCTGTCTATCGGAGTCCTTAAGTGAGGCTGCCTGGAGGTAGGGGAAAGCCTCAAGACCATCAAGAAAAAGGCCCAGCACCTGGAAGATTGCAGAGTGATTTCCCAGGATAAGAAACAGATTCGTTCTTGGGGACTTACCAAGATTAGCTACAGTGAGATAGCAGCAGGGATTGTGGCCAACCCCAAACTTTTCTCACTAGTTCCAGGGCAGGCTGGAACTAGTGAAAAAAACTAAAACTTCCAACCCCAAACATACAATCTCAGGTGACCAATGGTCCTACACACAGATCCACTCTTGTTCATCCCAAACTGAACTGCCCCACCCCTACCCCCAACGCACACTCCAGCTGCCCAGAAAGCTCCAAAAGAATCTGACTTCCCAGCTCCCTTAGAAATCCTGCGGGCCCCTGCTTCTCCCTCAGGCTGGGGTGTGCTGAGCACAGAGAAGCTTCCTGTGTTCCAATCATCTATAGGCGGCAGCAGAGCCCAGATTCAGAGTTTTCTCCTTAGAGATTAAGAGTTTCACTGTTACCCTAGATCTACCAACAAGCGGCTGCTCTGGATAGTCCAGCCTTCTTCCTTCACTGGGTTAGAGACTAAATGGTCTGATCTGGTCCTGGGGACCATCTGAGAGGAAGGAAAGCACAAAAGACCTGGCAAAAACAATACTCAAGGGCAAACGTTCTAGGAAACCCAGCTCGTGGGGGTTGAGCCGAGCCTTGAGGGGGTATCAACAAGGATCTCTCCGCCCAAGAGAGTTCTAAGCAGAGCCTGGATTGGAAGGGACGGGAATCCTGGCCATTCAGAAGTGGGGCGTGGCAGACAGGTTCAAGTCGAAAGGCCTCGGAAGCCAGAAGGCGCCGAAGCACTTGGGTCACGGCTTGAAGAGCCAAACCCTCTTCCCAGGCCGGGAGCCCAGCCTCCTCAATGGCCATTTTCTAAGATGCCCAAGGGCACACTCACAGGCCGGCACCAGCTCCAGGAAAAGTGCCTTCTGCGTGCGGTCCCGCTTCTGTAGCTGCCGCACAATGTGGCGCTTCCAACCCGAGGTGGGGTCGAAGGATGCTTCGGGCCCTGCCATCGCCCGGTCTCCAGCCAGTGCCCCGGGCGCCGCGCTCTGTAGCAGGCGCGGTGGGGGCGGGGGCGGGGGGCGGGACCTCTCGGGGACTCCGGGACGTCGGGGTCGGGCGGTGGCGGGGAATCCCCGGGCCGTACCAAGGGCTTGGTGGGGGCGGAGGAGCTGAGTGCACCCCTCGGGGGAAGCTGCCGCATGTCTGCGCCGCTGGGGCCCCACCAGAAAATTTTTGCCTCACAGGGTGCTCCTCTTGCTGTCAGGGGTAATAAGTTGGGACCAGACTCTAGGCCCCTGGGTCAGCTACCCCTTTGCCTGTTGGCGCGCTCCGGAGGCGGGGCCTCCAAGGCCAAGTCCAGCGTTCCTTGACGCAAACGCGCCCGGACTGAACTCTAAAGTGAAGGATGCTTAGAGAACCAGAGTCTTTTTTATTTTCTTCCGTCCCGAGGATGCTTCGGGCTGTAGGGACCCAGGCTGGTGTCACAGATGCCCTAACTCATTGCAGGGGCAGAGAAGTGTTCCTGGAAGGAACGCCGCCTCGCGACCAGACTCTCCCTAGCTGGATTACACCCGGACTCTTGGGTGTAAGCAGACCCAGGGCACCCACAGCATGACAGAAGCACAGAGGAGGAAGAGACAGAAGGGAAGAAATCCTTCTTTCCGGAGATGATGGCTTTTGAGTTTGGTTTGTGAGATGACCGATAAGAGTTGGCCAGAGGAGAGAAAAAAGGATTCTCGGCCGGGGGCGGAGGGGGGGGGCAGTGCTCAGAGGTTTGACGACATAAAAATTCCCATGGGTTGAGGGCTGCTAGGGAACTGCCTATGGAGGGGAACAAGGTTTAGGGGCCGGTTGGTCACAGACAGTTTAGGTCCCTAAGATTAAAGGGATGCAAGCTGGGCGCGGTGGCACACGACTGTAATCCCAGTGATTCTGGAGGCTGAAGCAGGAGGATTCCAAGTTCAAGGCCAGCCTTAGCAATTTAGCAAGACCCTGTCTCTCTGGGGCTAGGGCTATATTTCAGTTGGTAGAGTGCTTGCCTCACATGCATAAGACCCTGGGTTCAATCCTCTGCACCATAAAAAAAAAAAAAAAAGATCCTGTCTCAAATTTAGTGAGACCCTGACTCAAAAGGATTGGGGATGTAGCTCAGCACCCTGGGTTCAATCTACAGTACCAAAAACAAAATCAAAATAAATTAGTTAATTAAATTAAAAGGGGATGCAGCTGTTTTCATCTCGGAAACCCCCTTGATCCAAAGAAACAAGAGGTTTGTTGTTTGCCTGAGGTTTTATGGAGTAAGTGGCTGACCTGGCCAGTAGCCCAGTATCCTGAATCAGGTCCAAGAGTTAACTTGTTTGGGCAGCCTCTGGAGGAGTAGAGACATCTCTTGTGGGTACACTTGACAGTGTATCATGGATTTCATGGAACTGTGATAAAATTGTCTCTGGCCTATCCAGAGCTCTCAGAACACAGGCTTGGGTGAGGAATCAAAAGAGCGCTTCACTGGGCCAGCCTTACCCTGGGGAATACTGGGGAAGGCCTAGAAGGTCCTCCTCTCAGTGAAACAAAAGAGAAATTAGGCAATGTCAGGTAGCTTTCTGGGCCTTGGAGGTGACAGGTCTGTTGAAATTCTAATGGGGATGGGTCACAGAACTTGGAAAGTAGTAAAGGCTAGTGATAATCCAGGACAGTGCTTTAAAATCACAATAAACTGGGCTCCTTGGGCCCTTGTGGCCTTTGCATATGCTGTGCCTGAACTTTGGAACAACTTCCTCTCAAGTTAGTACATCTATTCATATATCACCTCCCCAGGGAAAACTATGCTGTGGTCTATGGAATTCCTCTTGAGATAAGGCCTGAGTCCCAGGTATCTGCATCCCTCCCACCAGCCCAGGCCTGGCCTGAATATTTCACATGACTGTTTCTGTTGCAGGTTGGTAGTAACAATCACCAAAAGGCATGCCCAGTCAAAGGACACAGTACCTGTGGAGGCCTAGGTCAGTTAGTGAAAGTGACCAATTCATTTTAGGACTAGCGAACTCTCAGACACTTGGAAAATGCACATTGGAGGGTGTATTAGCCCAACTATGAGGTGCAACAAGCTGTCTTTATTATTATTTTTTTTATTATTTTGGTACCAGGGATTGAACCCAGTGTACTTAACCACTGAGTCACATTCCCTTTTTAAATTTTTTTTTTTTTTTTTTTTTTGAGTCAGGGCCTTGCTGAGTTGCTGAGGCTGGCCTCGAACTTGCAATTCTTCTACCTTGGTCTCCCAAATCACTGGGATTATAGGCAAGAGCCACCACATCTGGCTAGTTGTGTTATTTCTGAATATTATATAATAAAGAAGTGATTGGCTTCTACTGAAAATATTTTCCATCTTTAGAATATGACAGAATGTATTATAAAGTTCACTTAAAATACAGAGCTGAGGTTGTGGCTCAGTGGTAGAGTGCTTGCCTAGCATGCTCAAGGCCCAGGGTTCAATCCCCACCACTGCAAAAAATAAAATTAAAATTAAAAAAAATAGGGGCTGGGGTTGTGGCTCAGTGGTAGAGTGCTCATCTAGCACGTGCAAGGTGCTGGGTTTGAGCCTCAGCAGCACATAAAAATAAATAAAATAAAGGCATTGTATCCAATTACAACTAAAAAAAATTTTAAAAGATAAAAAAAATAATACGCTAAATAAAATAGAAAGAAGGAAAGAAAACCTACAGAACAGGAGAAAATATTTGCAAATATAATCGGATAAGGGCTATTATCAGGAATACATAAAGAACTCCTAAAACTCAGCACAGCAACACCCAATTTAAAAAAATGAGGAAAAGATCTGAATAGATATTTTTCCAAACAGCATAAGCAGATGGCCAGTGAGCACATGTTGACATCACTAGTCATTTGGGAGATGCAAATAAAATACAACAAGATGCCACCTTACACCTACTAGGATGGATACAATAAGGGAAAAAAGGAAAAAAAGTGTTAGCAAGTATGTAGAGAAAAATGGAACTCTCATGCACTGCTGGTAGAAATGTATGGTAATACGTTTCTGTGGAAAACAGTTTGGAAGTTTCTCAGAAGGGTGAACATACAAGAATCAAATGATCCAGCAATTCCACTCCTAGGTATATATCCACAAGAATCAAAAGCAAGGATTTGAGCCAAGTATGGAATCCCACGCCTGTAATCCCAAGCGATTCAGGAGGCTGAGCCAGGAGGATCACAAGTTTGAGACCAGACTCAACAATTAAGCAAGAGACCCTTTCTCAAATAAAAAGGACTGAGATAAAGAAGAATGAAATTTGCTGGTAAATGGATGGAAATGGAAAACATCATGCTAAATTAAATAGGCCAAACTCAGAAACTCAAAGGTCAAATGTTTTCTCTCATGAAGAAGCTAAAGTAAAATAAAGGAAATGAGGAGGAAAGGATTGGCTATCATAAAGATAAAGGGAAAGTCAGCAGTGTATTAGATCAAAAGGCAGAGTGGAGGGATGGGAGAAGGGAGGCAATGCCGAATGAATTTTGTGTACATATAAATATACCACAGGGAACTTCACCTTTATGTATAAGTAAAAAGAACCAATCAAACATAAATAAATAGATGAGCAAAAGGAAGTTTAGCAGAGTAGAGGAAGGGGAACAAGGAAGGGGAAGGAGAATGGGAGAAAAAAAGGGGAGAGAAAAGGATGGGATGGTGAACTGAAATTGAATCCCATGCGTGAGTTCATTGGGATGAACCTAATTACTATGTATAACTATAAAGTTCTAATTTAAAAATTTAAAAGAAAACTTTAAAACTATTTTAAAAATAAAAAGGGCTGAGCATGTGGCTCTCTGGTAAAGTGCCCCTGGGTTCCCTCCCCAGTAACAAAAAAAAAGGTTAATAAACCTTAAATGAAAACAGCATAGTATTGGCACCAAAATAGACTGGTATACCAATGGTGCAGAATAGAGGACACAGAGACAAACCCACATAAATACGGTTATCTCATACTAGACAAAGGTGCCAAAAACATATTAGAGAAAGGATAACCTCTTCAACAAATGGTGCTGGGAAAACTGGAAATCCATATGCAACAAAATGAAATTAAATCCCTATCTGTCACCATACACAAAACTCAACTCAAAGTGGATCAAGGACCTAGGAATTAAACCTGAGGCCCTACATCTAATAGAGGAAGAAGTAGGCCCTAATCTCTATCATGTGGGATTAGGCCCCAACTTCCTTAATAAGACTCCTATAGTGCAAGAAATAAAATCAAGAGTCAATAAATGGGATGGATTCCAACTAGAAAGCTTCTTCTCAGCAAAAGAAACAATCAGTGAGGTGAATAGAGAGCCTACAGAATGGGAACAAATTTTTACCATATGCTCACTAGATAAAGCTCTAATCTTTAGGTTATATAAAGAACTCAAAAACCTTAACACCAATAATAATAATAATAACCCAATCAGTAAATGGGCCAAGGAACTGAACAGATACTTCTCAGAAGATGATATACAATCAATCAACAAATATATGAAAAAAATGTTCAACATCTCTAGCAATTAGAGAAATGCAAATCAAAACTACTCTAAGATTTCATCTCACTCCAGTCAGAATGGCAGCTATTAAGAATATAGACAACAGGTCTGGGGTTGTGGCTCAGCAGTAGAGCACTTGCCTCACATGCGTGAGGCCCTGGGTTCAATCCTCAACACCACATATAAATAAATAAATAAAAAGAAAGGCATTGTGTCTGACTACAACTAAAAAATAAATATTAAAAAAAAAAAAAAAAGAATACAGGGCTGGGATTGTGACTTAGCGGTAGA